TATGTATGCGACTCTAAATAAAGCTTCTTGTATCTTGTATCTTGTACCTTCCGGCTACTAATCTGTCAAAACGCCTAGAAGAACATTCTTCACAGATCAGTTCACTTCTGTAGTTTTACACACTGTACACATGTGTAGTGTAGTTTGTACATGTAAATTAATACAAACATGTTTACATATTTATTTATGTGAAAGCAGAACCTCCCGTGGACTAGACAGTTGTCACTTACACAGAGGTAAAGACGTGTGAGATTAAAGGAGGCCTATTTCAGCAGTCAGGTAAGTCCATTTGTATAATCTTGTCTTATCGATGTAGCTTTATGCTGTAGGCTTGTGTAAGTGCGTGCGCAAGTATATTTAATTATATTGATGTTTTTATGCTGACGATGATTAATAGCATACATAAATATTGACAATAATAAGATGTTTTTTTTATTTCACAATTGTCATCTGTCGACAATTAAAATAAATTATACACAACTCATAATAATAAATTATTGCGCATAACAAAATATAGGACAACCCATTTGTTTGCTGTCCCTGTGCGATGTAAAACTTTAGTTTTGATCTTTGTGAAATATTTGATATCGCAATCTTAAAGACATGTATACTGTATTCAATGAGACGTCACAACGTAATACCATATCCATTTTCATTTTTCTGATGTCTCAATGAGTGTATTTATGTGTGGAAATATGCAGAAAAGATTACTTTCGTTGACAATGCACTCACGGTATATATACATTGGTGTTTGGACATGTGTACGATAAATTGCGACTGCAAAACTTATCGTATCACTTACTAATTTAGAAAATAATATCAACCTTATTGAATTTAATATTGGAGGTGTTGTCATATATACTTTGATATTTAAAATGTGTTATATTGACTTTGACATGTTATATGGTGTTATATTAACTTTGATATTAGAGACGTTGTTCTGTTGACTTTGATATTTAAGGCAGTATTGTACTGACTTTTATATATGAGGTGGTGTTATATTGATTGATATTTGAGTCTGTGTTATATTGGCCTTGATATTTTAGGTGATGCTATATTGACTTTGATAATTGAATCAGTATTGCTCTGACTTTGTTATTTGAGGCGCCGTAATATTGACTTTGACATTTGTGGTGGTGTTATATTAATTGATATATGAGGTGGTGTTATATTGATTGATATTTGTGGTGGGGTTATATTATCATTGATATTTGAGGTGGAGTTATATTAACATTTATATTTGAGGTGGGGTAATATTAACATTGATATTTGAAGTGGTGTTGTATTGATTGATATTTGAGGCAGTGTTATATTGACTTTGATATCTAAGGTAGTGTTATATTGATTGATATTTGAGGCAGTGATATAATGACTTTTTTATTTGAGATAATGTTATATTGATTGATATATGAGGTGGCGTTATATTGATTGATATTTTAGGAAGTGTTATATTAACTGATATTTTAGGTGGTGTTATATTGAGTTTGATATTTGATTTAGTGTCATATCGATTTTGAAATTTTAGTTTATATTATTTTGATCGATATTTTAGGCAGTGTAATTTTGACTTTGATGTTTGAGGTGATTGTCATAATGACTTCGAGGTGGTGTTTATGTACCATCACGTTACTTACGATTGAAATATTTCAACTTTCTTAAAACCATGAAAAATGATAGGGATTTGGTACGAGCGTGAAAATGCAAACATATTTCCTGATTTTCCCGATGTCTCCATTACGTGCATCTTGACCTGGTAGCAGCGATTAATTTATAAACCGCCAAGTAAACGACTGATAGCTTGTTGATATGACCATGAATATTTCGAAATATTTAAACCAACACGATAATGTACTTTATGGTAATGATCAGTCATGAAAGGAACTACTTGGGCATACTATGACCAGTGTCGATATATAAATAAGTGAAGTTTAAGTTTTCTTGCATAACCTCCGGGTTATTGGTTGTTAACACTTTATTATATAAATGAAAGTTAAATGTGGAAAAATAGGCATCAAATGAAATCGTAAAATTGAGACCATGTCAATACAGATACGCTAAATGTAAAATGGTAGCATATAGATATATACCATACATCAACTAACAGCTTTTTAACGATACGACACTTTGCAACTGATATAAAAACTGCGCTTATATAGTTAGTCCAGTTATACTATCACAACCTTTCAGAACAAGTCAACACTATTCTTATCGTGTTTCTACCTAAACTTACGTTGGCATATGTCATTTGACGGGAGACAAAAACATGAAGTTGCCAAACCACGGAACAAAAGTTATCAACGCAAGTCTTTAGAAGTAATGATTTCTTTCCGTTTTTCTTTATTAATAACGTTGGTTTCTACGGCTACAATCGGTGATTTCCGTCTGTGGTTGTTATAGTAGTCACTGACGCTATGGTTTTTATTGATACTTTTTAATGCTAATGCTAGTCATAGTCCATAGTTTTATATTTTTGCAATTGTGTTATTTCTTGCCAATTGTCAAGGTAAATCAGTAACATAAAAAGGAAAAATCAAAATGCATTTAAACCGGAAGTGTAAACTAAACGTAATTCGAACTCGATGTAATACAAATTTGGGCAAAATATGAAAATAAAATTACCATGGAGACCAAAGAAAATGTACAAGGATAATAATACATTGTGTTCTGGAGGTGTAAGCGTCTTCTGTTTCATCGAAGGGACCGGCCTTATTATTCTAGGGTAGATCCAAGTAACTCTACATTCTCATGGAGAAAACGGACGTAGTGACCACAATAAATAAGAAACACTAATGAGCGAAATTTAAAATAAAAACAGACTGTCACAAAAGAAACTTGCATATTTCACTATTAGATATGATGGCGACCGTAACACTTGTCCATAGTTTCCATCAACCTGAATCTTTGGAAACCCTCTGTGGTCATTTTGTATGTCAGCAGTTGACATCTTTCACGGAATTCATGATACCCGGAGCATGCTCTTGCTTCATCACATAATGACAATTTATGTATACATAAACACACTCGGAATGACCTGTCGTTGTAGCTTTGTTGATATTTAAACATTGAAATACATTACACCTTATTTTGCATTTATATAACGTCTAAGATTTTGTAACGCGTCTTGGTGTTCCGGTCTGTTTTCTAGACAGGTCAGAAAGCATTGCGTTTTATTGTAGGCATGACCAAAGAGAAACATATGTAAATATAGGTAATCTGTTAGACTCAATTACCCTAAAACTGCTGTCATACCTTGAAATATGATGGTGTGGTATAGCAATACATTTTGTGACAAATAAAGCAATATCCCATAAAGATTTAATGTTTGCGTTTGGACACTAATGTGTATATTTAACTGTTACATACGATTGGTAATCTCAGTAAAATGATAATCGTGAAGATTAATTTAGAATATCAGCTTGCTTGAAAGACTTGCAATATACCAAGGTGTTTTAATAGGTACCATAAATTTGGTTTACGTTCCTGTTTTACTTAAATTTCAGTGGTGACTGCAGAAAGTATTCCTATAATTACATGACCTGTGTTTGTATTTTAACACCACACTTCAAACCTAAAAATAAATAAGCCATAGATAATATTACTGTAAATCTAATCGAGGAGGTAGAATAGAAAGCCAGGTAAATGTACCGCAGCGTAACACACCAAGACATAAAAGAAACCAAATTCGATTGGAAAAATATACAAACAGCACCAATGAGATACCACAACAAAAGAAAATGGTATTTTGAATCTACATAAAAGTATAGCCAAAAATAGGTGACCGCATTACCAGTATTTTCATATCATAGTTAACTGTCACAGTTTGTTGGTCAGGTGACACATTTTGTCGAATCTTGGTAACATTTTGAAAGTTTGGCAATTAGATGATAATTATTAGGACTTTTACACTCCCAGATGGATGCAAATCTCACACAAGCGTATCATAGCTTAATAAGATAATGTTAATCTTATTGTTACAATGCTAATATTTTGTGAAAGGTCTTGCTACATGTGAGTTTACATTGAATTAATTCGTATATATACTTACGTTATTGCGTAATCATTGTCAGTCGTACCTGGTACTGTGTACCTGTATTCACATGTGTCTGGAATGGGTTAACACTGAGAGTCCCTGTTAACCAATGAATGTTTACTGTGATTAACTTATCAGGCTCCGAGAAGTGAGCCCTCCCCGAGATACTGTCACATGTTCATAGTATGTCTATGATCAGGAGTCAGGTAACAGGAAGGAATACCTTCCACACTGATAACTTATAGCATCATTCAGTCACAACGTTTGCCTGGACATAGCAGCACTTTCGTGACGCAGTAGGTATTCGTATAGTAAATGTATATTAAGGGCATTGACAAGCCAGCTAACCGCCCTGCTCTTGAAACTGATGAATGCCAGTTGGAGGGTTTAATTTAATCTTACATCTTGTGTTGTCAATCATTTTCAATCTTTTTTTTCTTTAATTGACCGATTGAAAGTATTCAGATGATCAAAACATGTAAAAATACAAAATATCACATTCATGGGTGTTGGGAAGTTGTTTGAAAACAATAGTAGACGTAGTAATTAAGGATCAGACACGTGTAATGCTTACTTCTGCCACATGATACTTAATCATCAAACATGTTGCAAGTTATCATATTAAACAATATTTGTTCCAGGTCCCAGCGTGCCTAAAAATATTTACCTGACCTCAGCAGCACACGAGGCCTCTATTTAGGTTATTGTGCTGCCTTGGCCATGTCACTGACCACGAAAAATGTAACGACGGAGAATTGCAGGGTCAAAAGACGGCTTGGTCTATTAAGCTCCGTCTCTTTTATCGTAGGTAATATAATAGGTAAGTACATGCTTAACCTCGAACGCAAACACTCAATGCATAATAATGTAAAAATAAGACAATCATAAACTGTCAGTATATTGTAAACCTATTTGATATGTGTTGTTGACATTAAAATACAAATTAAATCTACATCAAAGAGTGCAAACTATCAAACATGGTTTTTGGATTGAAATATTATCAATTTATTTTTCATATTAAAGTTTATTTATAGTGTACATTACTGAAGCACACTAATACACTAGAAAGTAATATTTGACACTAGAAAATATACTAATATTCGTATGCATACCCATATTGCATTAGTCGATTTATCATAAATAAGAAGACATATTCAGAAAGAAAAAAAAAACTTATCGAAAATTAATTTCAGTAAATGAAATATATATATATTTATTAGCTCTCATTATATTTTTCAACGGTTATAAAAATCGCCATTGAATACCGGCGGTGTTTGCAAACTTTCACCGTTATCACTGTTGTTAAAATCTTATTAACATGTTTACTTTAAATTATCTCGTCTGATGACCTATGGGTATATGGGGTTGCTGCCCCTGTTAAGCACTTCTTCCCCAGATTGCGAACTTACAATTAAACTTATACCGAACCGCTATAAGTTGGCTTCACATGTAATCTCTTCAGATTGTGAATAATTTTCAACCAGTATTTAAATCATTTTTGTACATCTGGTATTTTTAAGAGGCATTCATCAAAGTTCCCCATAAAAGAAATTTCCTGAGTTGAATATTTACCTCCTAATACGCACTCACGAAATGTTAATGCAATATTTCAATCGACATTACCAAATGAAATTTCTATATCTCGTATCCATAACACAACGTGGGAAAAACACGGGAAAGATTATGAAATCCATAATTGAAACAAAAATTGATCTGATTTTGCCTCTCCTCTACACATAAACATTTCTAGAAAGTGGCTTCTCATTCTTAACACCATAACTTTTGAATTCTCTCTTTTTACAATAATCATCAGATTTCTTCCAATTATTTTGCAAACTTACACTTAAACTAACAAATAGAGTTGTATCATCAGGAAAGGATATATTATGAATTATTTCGAAAATTATATACATATATATACAAAGCAATTACATATGTATTATTGTATGCACCCATGGTATAGAACCACTTCAAAATATGTATTTTCGCTTCATATGGCCTTGTCTGACCATCAAATGGAATACTATGTACATACAATCAAGGAGATATTTACAGCGAAAACATAACAAGACCCATGCAAACAATCGGTTCCTGTTTTTGCATAATATTGAACCACTTCTCAAAGGAAATGTTTTTGACATGGATGAATATTTATTTGCTGTCAGCAAACAATGTCTAAGATGTGTGTACTTAGTAGTTTAATACTTTATGTTATTGTATACATCCAGTGCGATTACTTCAAAGGGACCACTTGTCAACACTTACTCAAAAACCTAAAGTCTAGCTTTCTAAGTCTTTTTGCTTATTTATCGTCACTTCTTCTTCCTATACTTGTGTAAACTTATACGAAATGACATATATGAAAAAATACAAGGACCACTGAATCATTTTTTTTTTCTTATAGATCACATCTTTTTCAATCAGATACAAAAGATGATGAAGTCAAACATTGAGAAATAATCACACTTTTCTTATCGCAGACATGGACGATATAATTCCCTGATGTTTGATTAAACATATTCATAGACACACAAAATCAGAAATGTAAATAGTCTCGATTATTTCTAATGTTAAACGTTTCCATAGCAACACGATATCGTAGATATTGTAGGTGTATTTTATAAAAAAAAAAAACACCACAAAATCCGTTACGAGTTGTGGTTTTCTTTACACCATTACCCAATGAACATCGGTTTCCCCGTTTACCTCAACCAGAACGGAAGCATCCCTTTCGGCAGGCCTCCATTTCGCCGGTTTTGATTTGCATTTGACGTCACGTAATTGTTTTCTCTATTTTCTGACCTCATTGTTGAATGTTATGAGGTCAAAATACCTCGTAATGAGTTCCTATATAACCAATGAAATTGCTTATACCTGTTTTTTATCATCTAATAACCAATATTTGCACTGACGCTTATGGTGTGAATGTGATACAACATATGTAGGTAATGGTAGCAAATCTGTTGACAAAGATCACGTATATATGAGTATTACTTTATCCATTATAATTCTTGTGTTTTATAAATTTAATAAATTCGACCAATGACCAGGAAAAAATCCAAAGCAGCAGGTTTCGTTATTAATATTTTTGTTATGATTGTTTTTATTTAATTGTATAAATTAACTCCATGTTACCAATAATTCAACCCTGTGTAAAACGTTTGTTGTTTGTAGGGTCAGGAATCTTTATATCACCCAGAAATGTCTTGGCAAAAACCCAGTCCGTTGGTCTTTGTCTGGTCACGTGGGTATTGTGTGGCGTCATTTCCATGTGTGGTAAGTGGGTTTCTTACAAGGTAAGTACTTATAAATGACACAGGTGGGTGACACATGTTCGTGTTATTCAAAACTGTGGATACAATTTAAATGTAACCAGAGCTTTGCTATAAATTGTATGACTTCCGTAAGCGGTACGTATTCTCCTTTATAAACGCAATTATTATGATTTCAAGTGATACATGTATATTTGAGCACGTTTCCTTTGAATAAATTCAAATTTATTCATCTACATTTTAAACGTACAGTGTATGTTGAAATAATTATTCAATAGACTAAATGTAAAGACGGGTTTTGCTCTGATCTTCAACAATATCTAACGTTTAGGAAGATAAAAATTAGCATTTTGGTGATAAAGAAATTTCTTATGTAGCTTTCGTTAAACTTACATGTAATGGAACAAAGCTATCATATGCTTTTCATTCTCGATCAACTGGAATACGTTTATATCATATGGTTATTTTATGCAAACAGGGGTAGATCCTGCGACCCATTCCTTTGATAAAGAACGCCACCTATAGATCAAATGGTCATCGTTACCTTACAATTTACTGGTATCAAAATAAAATGATTTAGAAATAAATTACATAACCATGGTAGCACGGTAAACCAGATAAGAATGCTTTTAACTGCCAAAACATTGTGGAAACCTGTTTTTAAATTAACGTTTCTCATGCAAATGAAGCTCTGATCATAAATATATCGTATGGACATCAGTTAATAACATATAGTTAAAATTGCTCAACAGCTTCAGGCATATCCTTTATATAATTAAGGAAGAGTATACATATCGTTGCAGGAACACACAATAACTAAAATGCAATTCCATGGTATACCAGCATATAAGATAATGTTTATGAATAGACCTAGTATTATACTCTCCTATTTTACACTCCTCTCTCAATAAGATATGTGGAATAGAGTAGTGTACGTTACTCCCGTATGGTGTTATTATTGTGATTGTGATATTTAGATTTAAGAGTAGTGAACATCTACTCAAAATTTTGTTCACAATATCCAAATTGCAAAACACCAAACGTAGATAGACTTTGCTCTCTTTTTCTTAATCAATGTTTTAAGTATGAAAATAAGGGATAT